ATCCCGTTGCAAAATTTGATTTACATTTGATAAGCCGTTTGGTCACAATAATTTTTATTCGTTTTTACTACAAACAACAACTTGCACGTAGTAAAATACAATGGATGTTTATCATAGACAATTTTTGCGACGAAGCGTCACACAAATTACGATTTTGTGCGAAAAGAAGGGAATATCGTTATAGTAGGCTGAATGAATAAGTGATGTGATAATAGTGGTAGTAGTTTAAAAACCTAGGGTAGAAACACCAATAAAGTATAGGTACAAATAAATGTGAATTAATGTTTGCTAACAATAGATAGAATTTTTTTAGACATTAATAAAAGTTAACCGTATAAGTGAAGTGCCGCAAAATAAGAAAATGCTTCGTGAAAACAGCAGTAAGTTTCTTATCCAAATATTGTATTTGATTTTATTCTAAAAACGATTACGTTTTATTTAACAAGAACTCGTACGTCATAAAATAATAATTTCCACAAAATAATTGTCGTACATGCAACATAAAGTCGACTCATTTGTTATGATAGGTTATCCTATTATAACTAATTTACAACAATGCATAAAAATCTTTGATGTCGCTGACTGCTCTAGTTCGCGTCGCGCGCTGCGCACCGCATCGTACTTTGTACATTACCTAAGGAATGTTCTTTTGTGTAAAGTAGGAATGCTCGATAATAATCGATGTTGCTACACGAAAAATATTGTAACATCGATGTTAACTCACGGCCTCCAGCACGACCAAAGCAACTTACGAAACAAATTATGTCTTCTATGAACGCATTCACAAATTAGGTTTATTAAAATTTTGAACGCGTATTCATTCTTTGCGCCCAGGTCATTCATTTCGTTCGTTCTTCGTAGCCTTGCTCGCTCTTTTCTCACACTACTCTTTATCAACAAATAAATGGATTAAAAGGTTCTTCTTTATCAAAATTACTTTATATTCAGTCAGTTCATAAAAAAAATATCGGAGTATATAATAATTTGTTCTGTTTCTTAATAAATTTCTAACCATTTCACTGATATTATCTAACATCGATGTTCGGTTTTCGATAAATATCGAACATCGATGTTGGGCTTTAGATTATGAAATCGATGTCAATGTCGATGTTTTTCTAACATCCCTATCCCTATCTAAAATCCCTAGTGTAAAGATCTCAAAATCATATGATGCTTGGTTTTGGTTTTACATTACACGTATGGTTTTAACATTAAGTTTAATAACATGGGTTAACCCAATTTAATTTAACTTGAACCTATTTGAACTAGACCGCTAATTCTAGGAAATTTGTGCGATACGTACAATTTTAGAAACGGCAAAAGCATCTTGGAGCAGTTTTCTCGCTGAACACGTGTTTTGTCATATGTGATGATTGGTGCCATAGCGTTTTTTCTACGTTGTATATCTTTGTGTTTGTAATTAGACTTCTAAACGCCTGGACCGATTTTGATACAAAATTGTGTTCAAGTGGATTCGAGATTGGTTTAGATTTACGATTGTTTTACGGTCCACATTGTTACAGATTATAGTAATTTTTGTGTTTAAGATGTGTGTACAGAACAACGTCTACGTATAAATTGATAATATTGTTTTTCAGAAAATACTGTGATTTTTTTGTTTTAGGCAGAAGTTAATATTAAATATAATGTCAATTAGCTGCCTCCGCGTACTTCGTCTCGCCTTAATATGATTTTCTAACGGCTATTAGTAGTACATACCAATATGTGGAACATTTTTGTATGCTACCCCATAGAGGCTGTTCCCATTTCCAGAATTAAAACCTAAGTACTAAATATAAGTTTTTGTTTTTTTTATCAAATTTCCACTTCATACATTCCTTAGACTTCAAGGGATAAATTAAAAAAAAATACTTGATTTCTATCCGTCGAGTTTTAAGCTTAGCGACAAATTTGGTATGGTTTTAACATAATATATGAATGAATGAATTGAATAGTTAAAATTTGAATACCACACTATGTTACCCCAAAATAATTATTTTTTGGTACAACTTCTCAATGTTGCCTTCCAGTACTGGGATTAAAAACTACAAAAAAAACCAAACCTATTTCGAAATGCCTTTATTAACATCTTAAGATTAACATATTACATATACACTTAAATATAATTGGAATGGTCATTGTCATTGTTCGTTGATATCAAACCCTAAACGCTATCCTTCTCTTCTACACAATGTGACAAGGACGGCAATATTTTATTCGCCAAAACAAGCTACCAGTTAACCCTAGACCGATAGACAGAACTTAGATGAAACTGTATTAGATCCAATAATCTAAAATAATTAAGCTTTGCAGCAGTTGGAACCTGTGTGGACGTAATCAATATGTTCTCATTGGTCTAAGGGCATTATAAATATAAAATTGTACTTGAGGTAAATTAATTAATTAATAATAATACAAAATCGATACAAATTCATAACAAAAACGTTTTCAAAGATAATAGATGTCATTATATCTTAAATTTGATTCCACAAATAACACAACGTTTAAATATACAGTTAACATGAATACAGTAAAGTCTTGGTATATAAAATACAGATTGAACTCCATATACCGTCACTCCGATTAACATCAAAGTAAGTAAAAAAAGGGTGCGTGTACATGTACGCGCGTAAGAAGTTATACTTCTTTGGCATTATTAAAAATAGTTTTTGATTGCATGCAAATAATTAATTACAATTAAATAATCAAAGACTGGAAAAGGAGTCATTATAGTCAATAAAGTTCAGTTTACATTTGAAAAATTAAATATATAAATATTTATTATTATTCTCTTACATTAAGTGTAACATAAATTCTATTATTATTCGAATGTTGTTTTTAAATTATGTCCAATGCCGTAGCATCTTCCATGGGCAACTTCATTCTGTTAATTTTGTGTCGCATCGTAAAATTTCACTCTCATCAATTTTTCATAACGCGCCTAAAGAAGTATAACTTCAAAAATACTAAATTTGTACAGTTTGCTATTTGTTCATACAAAGTAACATTTCTTTAACAAAAACACAGTCCAATATAGAGTTTAGACTGTATATCTAACCTGACAATAGGCGTGGTTATATACCAAGAGACGTAATAGACATTCATAATACGCGTATACATTATTCGATTATAATTGTAGGAAAATATCATGTTACGAATTTGAGCAACAAACACATGCACACAATAAGTTATCTACCCAATGGTATAACATAATTCTAACATCGCATCTGCTTGGAACAAATCATTTTGATACTTTGTATATTTGTATCGTTTTATTAAAAAATTAATAAATACGTGACAAGACAATCCGTCTAAGCAGAATCAAATTACTAACCCTGTACCAAATGACTGAATTTTTTTTAATAATGAAAATTTTAGCTTCAGAAAGACTTGATACGGCTTGTTGCTTTATTTTGTTTTTAAACGTACCAGAAGTATCAAAATGATGTAACGAATCAAATAAAAAATGATAGTATATGGTTTGGTTTTTACTTAGGTTTAGGGAGATATAATTAATGTTTTGCTAAAAACGTTACCTCTGTCGAAGACTTTGCTATGCAGATTGATAAACCATTCTTATGAGAAAACATACCCGTTTCATGATTATTATCCCTTATTAATTTATTAAATTTCCGATATAAGGTTTAAGTTATTACAGCATGTCAATACTTTTATTAATTACGATTGTTTCATTGCATTGCGTAGCTTTTCAATATTAAAATGAGCTCAGTAATTGACTTGAAATGGACTTGGAATTAATCTTTATATATTAGGATTTTAAATTCGAATCTCCTTAAAATTAAGGGATACCTCACAATGAAAAAATAATGTAAGGAAAGAGAACATCCTGTGAATACAAGTCACCGCAGTGCTAAATTATCTTATTTGTTGTAACTGTTACGTCGTTATAGTTCGAAAATTATATCTGTGTGTGTGTATATGGAGTGCCTCAAGGCTCACATCTTTGGCCCTTACTGTTGAAATTATGTGTAAACGACATAAACACATGCTTTATTAACTTCAGGTATATATTTATATATTTATACAGGTTGACTGTTTGCTGATGACCTGCTATTATTTAGGCAAGTCAACAAGAATTATCAAAGATGGGCAGGTAATATATTTTTATGGCTCTGGCACGGTTTGTGCATTAGCCAGCGTCAAGTATAAGATTTTTATAATTCGTGCTTGCCTTAGAAATTTGACCGTGTTCTCCATGTACGGTTTAAGCACTCGCCCGGTACCGCACAGCCCGACCAAAGGTCGAGAACAAATTTAAATTAAATTAAAACTTGCCCTCGAATCGGGAATCGAACCCGGTACCCATCACCTAGCTGCCACTTAATAAGACCGCTAGGCTATGAGGCCCCTGGCAGGTAAATTGGTGTCACGGGAGCAATATGACCCTCTCTTGCCCCCTGTTCTATTAAAACAAAAACACCGGTTCTATTTCCTCATAGACTGTCCTATACAATATCTGGACCCTGTAACTCTGTAACTTCATTTCTTATATCTCCCTAATTCACCCTTAGCTCGTATTTCGTAATTACAAAAAACACACTTTCAAAAGAACCCTGTCCAGTTTTTGTACGTTAATTACGTACGTGGCTCATAGCTCATACTTTCTTGTACTTTTTACGCTGTAACTCTCGTATGTAAAAATTAAGTATGAAAAATAGTTCGTACAAGTCTCGACTTTGAATCTTACCTTAGTAGAACCAAACCAAATTTCAAACATAAATTTTAGAAGACATACATACATGAGCAACTTTTAATTTAGGTCGTTCATTAGAAATTAACTGTTACTTAAGTAAGTAAAGATCAGATCTGAAGCCAAATAAAACCATAAACTTCTCCAAATCAGACGTTAACTAATTGAGCATTAAATTTCGTATCTGAGTTACACCTCTCAGAGATAGCCTCAATTGGCTCAAAAAGTGATAAGGACACTAATTAGATATTTAAGGTTTATAGTATGTTTATAAATACGTGTTTTACCCTCATTTATTTTTTATACCCTTATTTGCTTCGGGAATTAACATAAGACACATGGTAGCGTGGAGACAGGCTTTGGCAGGTTTAAATTGTTCGTCAAATACCAGGGAGTAGCGATACATCCACACTGCTTGATCGAATTCTTCCTGTAAATTAATTTACGGAATTAACTTTCATGTTACACCCGTGACTGACAGGGCCTAGGCGTGGTTACAAGTACTGACAGGCTCCTTTTCTTTTCTTCTTCTATACCAAATCCTATACATTTTTGACGTACTGAGTACTCTAAATCTCACACTAAGAAACTAGTTGTCTAGTTTACGGTCTACGGTCTAGCTGATTGTTCTTGTCAAAATCATAACAGTTTTTAGCACTTTAAAACAAAAGTGATGTCAAAAAATGAGAAACTAAAATTAAGTACCATTTCCCCTATGGGGCATGGGGCATTTAACTGATGCAAGGTCATTTCTGCCATTTTCAAACAGAAACAATATTTGTGATTTCTCTTATCAGCCAATTATAATACCGTTTTATAAAATTAACCAATTATAATACCGTTTTATAATTGGTTAATTTTTTTGTTAATTCATTTTTGTGTATATATCGTAGCCTGATAGTACAAATGATCATTTCATGAAATTTTTTGGGCAGTTCAATAAATAACTGTTTAATATATAAACAATTAACCACCTGTCCACATTATTCGTTCAAGTCGTAAAATATTTAAATTCACCAGTAATATTACTACATTATTTTATCTATCTTTTTTTAGAAGGTATTATGAAATAATCAATTTTACGATATGGCAACATATATATATATATTCTGTGCGGGAAGAAAATTTTGCTCTGTTCACAACACTGTTACGTCATTATAGTTGGACTACTGTCCATCTTGATACTTTATATGAATTTTTTAAATATATAAGTTTGTGAATAAATCAAATGTTGCAAACAAGAATTTTATAAGTTCTGTCACGCCAAAACTCTTTTAGCACAAACTCTAAATATATATTTTACAAAGCACTGAAGATCAAATTATTATTGCATATTATTAAAAACGTGCACTTACGAGATATGTATGAGAGACGGCGACTAAAAATGCTTCGATTTTGCTCTTTGGTGATCCATAGAAGGAGAGATAGGCTACGTCTTTGGCGTCTTTTTCTTTGGAATGCCTGTGAAATATTTTATGTTTGTATAATCAAACTCATAATATCTTAATTCATATATAGGTAAACAGTATACTTATGAACGTCAAAAAGAAGTTAAATTAATTGTAAATTTACATTTACTACCAGTTCGCAAGTCAAGGACGTAAAGCGGGTAAGAAGAACTGGCAAGAAACTTTCCGCCACTCTTTTTAATCGCCAAGTATTGAGTCACACAAATTGTTTGAACTGGAGCAAATCAATCCCAAGGAAAAGAAAATGTTTCTTATTTAAAAAAAAGTGAGACCTCACAAAGTCGGTTTGCCTCCTGTTGCAAAAAATGTAAACCAACAAAATAAAAATTGTTAGCTTTTAATATTAATTTAATTAATTGCTGAATCTGAAAACTCCATCCCAAAACCCATCCCGTCGTAGGTACAATCTTCGTGTGTGCACTTTATATGTGCGCATTTAACATTCGCTCGAACAAATCAGGAAAACATCGTGAGATAACCGGCTTGCATTAAATCCAAAAGTCCACGGCCTGTGTTTTTTTTATATATATAAATTTCCCAACATCCCCGACTCTTATGGTGCGGGACCTTATTTTATATATATATTTTGTACAAATATATATAATATATATACATACATACATTAAGAAATTTCCTATATATATATATATCCATACATACAAGACGGCCTGTGTTAGGAACAAAAGGCTGATAACCTACTTGCCTATTAGATTGACAAGTGATCATGAAACATACAAAAATCTGAGGCCCAGACCTAAAAAGGTATTAGCACCGCTGGGCTATATCGAACTATCGAATTTGTCAAGTTATAGAGAGTACTGCCTAAGACTCTAGTAGTATTTTCGTAATTTGTTCAAAATCATGTAAATTTAAATCCTACTTCATTATGTACATCATAAATTAAAGAATACAATAGATTAGGAAATAATTGTACACCAACAAATGTACATACTAAAATTATCAAAAAATATGAATAAAAATCATAATATGAATCAATGTATGCTAACAACCACAATTGTGTACATTATTTATATTTTTTTAAATCTATACCTTCCTTGTTCCCTTAAACGGAAAAGAATTTATTATAGATATGTGTACTTATAAGATAAGACTGTCGCATATAAGCGCGAAGATTGTCAAAAATATGTATGATTTGTTATTGTTTGGTATTAATTGAATATTGTACTGTAGTTACTTAATATGTTATTTATGTAATTCTGAAATGTATTCTTAAATTTATTATTATATAACTACTTGTTTATCGAGTTGAATTGCAATGACTAAAGTTTTTTCGTTGCCTTTTTCGTTTTCGTTTGTATATGTCAATTCAAAATGTTATGGTTTTTGCAACGTTTCTCGTGAGTAAAATAAAATGTGATTTTGATACTTTCTGTTTTATTAAATTAGATTTTATTTTTAAGTCCATTGGTCGGGGAGAGGCGTATCACAACCTGAAGCCACTAGGCCCGCAATGCTCTAGGGAGCGTTCAAGTATTACGTAACGAATTTGGGGGGGTCCTTTTATAAAACGTTACGATGCGGGGCGGGGATTGATTTACGAATTTGTTAATATAATTTTCGACTTTCCAGTAAGTACTTTACACCACATAATGGTAACTTTTAGGTATAAGAGTCACTGGGTGGTCACGAAACGTTTTACTATACTTGGGTACAGTACTGTACTTAGATACAAAAAACGTCACGGCGCGTTACATGGGAAGGGGGGTCAATAATCTCCAAAAATTGCGTGACGTAATACTTGAGAAAATTACCCTAGTAGAAAATTAACTATTTGTTAATTTATTACCTATATTTATATGATATGTCCTTGCTATATCTATAATATGAATATGTATTGATAGCTGCTTTTTGAAGTTGTATGTAAGTGAATTATATTAATATATTTTCTATATTGTCATTATAACTTTATTATTATAATTACACATATGTTTTTTGGATTAGTAATACTCACATATGCAACAAGGCGACCAATGCCCGTAAGGGATATGAGGAATAATGCTGCGGTGCCAGTGCGTGAGCTGCGGCTGCGCAGCGTACTGCGCACGCGCCGTGTCCGCCTGCCCCACACCACCAACTAGCGCTTAAGGCCGCCACCCACGACGACGGACGCTGTGAACATCCAAAATCAATTAAGGAATGCCGCCATTGTTTAATCACAATAAGTGATTTTAAGACCTTTAATACTTTCAATTAAAACTTATACACCTATTTATGCACCTTATTTATTAAAATTAAATTCATATAATGCACTGGAAAAGTAATATTTTGTCTCTTTCTTTTAAAATAATTACACGTTCGAAAAAAAATAAAACTTTAACATGTAGAGAAGCAAATAAACAGTTAAAAAAATACTATCTATTTATTGGTTTGTACTATCTATCGCATGAATCTCTACGGCAGCTATTTTGGCAATAAACTTTAAAAAAAATGGTCCGTGCAAATAACCAATACCGCGAACAAAGGCCGCGAGCGTTTTATTTTCGTCACGTATCTATTTTCGAATCAAAAATAATTAATTCAATTGTATGCGAATTTTAAAAAAATATCCTTTTTTTTATAAAATTTTCAGCTCAAAATTTAAATAAATTTTCGAGAATTATATCCTTCAAGATTTTTTTTTACCAATTCACACACTCGCGAGCCCGTTTACACCGTTATAAAAAGAATATCAAAATAAACAAAACATGACAGATTTTGGTACTCACAGCTTCCACATATTTAGCGATCTTGGCTCCCAATGTCACATAGTCAAAGTAGTTGAACAGTTCAGCAAACTGATGAGTCAGCGTCATGATGGGCTGCCAGCCTTCTGTATCGATGCGACTGAGTCTCTCGTAGTAAAAGTCTTCTAAGGGCTCGGAGATCACCTTGCATTCCGGTATTTTCTTAGTCGACGGATTCATTGTGATAATGTCTGACGGTATTCTGAAATCATTAAGCTTTTTAATGTTAATACATTCATATCTTATGTATCAAGATTACTGTAGAACTTTTATGACGTAAGTGTTATCAACAAAAAAAAATCGCATTGCTGCGACCCCAAATCCCACCACGGCCGTTTTTCCTCACAGACTCTGTAACCTCAAATTGTAGGAAAGTATTTCACAACTTTCTTTTTTTATATTAAGTTTCTTCACATATTTTATTACTGTTTTATTTTGGTTGCCTGGAAGAGTACGCTTAATAGCGACATTACCATAACACTAAACTGTGTTTTGTTTGATGTAAAGTGTATGTGAAAAGTGTAAATAATTTTTTAAGTTGTGTATATATGTCGCTTATAAAAAAATTAAATTGTCAAACAAATATCTCAATAATCATGTATTATGAAACCGATAAAAAAACATTCACAAAAGGTATTATACACGCTGATCGTCCGTTCCGTGTTGCTACTGCGTAGTTAGGAAGTTTCCTACTCGTAATGAAATATTATTTATTTATATACACGCCTATATATAGGGGTAGGCAGAGACCACGGATCTCCGCTTGCTACTGTCCTGACATACCTACCCGGTTCATCAACTTTCATGACATTCATGCTTGCTCGTCGTTTGCTAGTCCAGCAAGTCCCTAAAAAAACTTACCGTATATTTGTATCAGAAAAGAGTTGTTTAAAGCTGACAATGTGCAGCCAATATCCAAGTTGTATGTAATGGTGCGAGCATTCTTCTTCTGTAAGCGCTAAATCAGCGGGTTGCAGACCTGGAAGTACATTTATAAAATTAGATAGACCGATAAAGTGAAAGACTCATCGTCCTCAAAACGACAATGTCATAAGAGAGGCGCTGGACAGAAACCGGTGGAATCAGTCCGCTCTAAATGCTTCGATGCTGACCACGACGCTCAGACGTGAGCTTCCGATTAAGACTCCATAATTTTTTGCCCATTCTTCTCCATATAAAACTACATTTAAAAAAAAATATATAAATATTTTTAGCGTGTAAAATTGACTTTCAAAAGTGCCTTTTTAATAGACCTAATTGAAATAAATGATTTTAATTCCATCAACAGTGATAATCATATGTAATTAAATCGTAATCATAAATCGGTTCGTGGTTTATCGGGGCGCTTTAAATAATAGAGGATTTTATTTTTACTCTATATTAACCACTCACGTACAACAATAGAATATAAGCGAAATAATGAATTGTTAATAATTGCTATGAAACGAATGAATGCAATGTAACAGTCGAAGAGAGTGCCCGTGTCTGGCTATACTCTCGGGGCGTAACTCCGACGATTTAGGAAATCGCTACGCTTATAAAACTAAGAAAGCCTGAGTGAGCAATTTTGCTCACTCAGGCTGGCTGTACATTTGTACAGCCTTGGCTCGTACATGTGTTTTTTATATATTTCTAGGTTAAATATTCTTAATTTTTTCATATGTTTCAGTTCACTACTACCGCCTCAATTGTGAATTCTATCAACAAATTATATAAATTTCTATAAAAAAACGTATGTATTTGTAATTACCGAAAATTACTATCATTTCCCCTACTACATATTATATTATCATATAATTTTTTTTATTAGTTAATTACTTAAAGATCTCACGTGGAACATGGTGTGATAGTTGCAGCTCCTTACAAACATTTTGTAAAACAATAAAGTTGGCGATTAAAAAGAGTGGCAGAGAGTTTGTTGCCAGTCCTTCTCGTCCCTTATACGCCCTTGATTTGAGAACTGGCAGTAAATGTAAAATTAGAAGCATTTAGCATTTAATAGCAATACGTCTTTATTTACGTTCATAAGTGTGTGTTACCTAAATAAATAAATTAATTTTAATTTGAATTATTCATTCATTATTAAAAATCCAGCCGTGCGAACTCAGGTCCCTTATTTAACACTATAGTGTTTTTTTACATAGGGCAAACGAGCCTACGGAACACCCAAAAAGGGCAGTCGCAGCACATGGACATCCATTTTAGGGGATGTGTTGCCGGCCTTTGAACTCCGCATGAATTGCCTCCGATAGATGACTAGAGTTGCTTAGAACTTAATTAAACCTAAAAAAGAGTATTTTTGAACATGTACTTACTCTTACACCCCAAAGGCCCACATCCATGCAAAACCGTCTCAACCGCCTTCATCATATGGTCGTAATTCGCTTGATGCGCAAGTCTGTCCGTTCTATCGCTCGGCATTCTCTGTACCACGAAGTCGAAGAAATCATCGCTCATCATATCCTTTGACTGATACGTCTTATCATGTTGTGCTAGCAGCTTCATTATCATGCTCGTATCCGCTGAAAAATTTCATAAAATTCAAGTATTACGTAACGAATTTTGGGGGGGGGGTTCCTTTTGTAAAACATACGATGCGGGGCGGGGATTGAATTACGCATTATTGTTAATATTATTTACGACTTTCCAGTACTTTTCACCACATAATGGTAACTTTTAGGTATAAAGAGTTACTAGGTGGTCACGAAACGTTTAACTATTGGGTACAAAAAACGTTACAGCGCGTTACACGAGGAGGGAAGAAAGATTGCGTGACGTAACACTTGAACGCTCCCCAATATGGAAGTCTAGTTACCGGACTTTTGTGTAGATAATAAATAATATAAAAAGCCTTTTATTTCGTGCAAAATCAAATTTAATTTAATCAAATAAAATTGATAAAATATATTACATTAATTTGAATAATATATATAAAATATATTTAAATTTAATGACGTGGAATAAGTGATACCTGTATATCTTATGTACCATAGTAAACATATATATATTTTTTTATACTAAACATATTAAAGTTCGTATGTATGTACGGGAACTTTCCCGCCTAAAAATAAATTTATTTTGTAACTTACATCTATCCTGACTACTGAAGCACTGGATGTTTGTCATATGACAGTTTTCACCTCCCTTCTCACACACCATGTTAATTCCCGGCTCCACTTGCGTACATATATCTCCTTCTATGAAATCTAAAAAAGAAATATAAACCATACGCTTAAGGGAGCGTTCAAGTATGACGTAACGAATTTTGGGGGAGGGGTCCTTTTGTAAAACGCTACGATGCGAGGCGGGGATTGAATTTGTTAATATTATTTTCGACTTTCCAGTACTTTACACCACATAATGGTAACTTTAAGGTATAAAGAGTCACTAGGTGGTCATGAAACGTAAGTATACTTGGGTAGAGAAAAGCGTTACGGCGCGTTACACGGGTGGGGGGGGGTCAAAAATCTCCAAAAATTGCGTGACGTAATACTTGAACGCTCCCTTATTCAAAAGTGAAAAGAAACAATCTTTGTAAAGGCGTGTTGAGAATTAAACTCAATTGTCTGTATACTCTGATTTTTAATTCCGTAGAATTCTGACGTTTCATAAGCTACTTAAACAGTTCTCCACCGAAAAACGGACAAATTTAACTTATTTGAAGACAATAAAATAATGCTACGTATTTTTTATGTTCTACCTACTCTGTTATTTTTGGCCTAATATAAAAATAACAAATATTTCAATATATCGAATAAACTTTAATTACTTTATTTTATTCTTTAGCTGGCATCACTGCCTACTAATTCCAGGTTTAGTAAACCTATAAAAAATATTATCTTTACTTGTGCGTTTTTTACTGTTTGTGATGAAAAGGAACGTAATTACCACTCGCCGTTAAAACACTTTTAATGTAGCACCGCACTTAATAAAATGGCTATATTAACTAACAATAACATGTATGTAAATAGACTCAGATGTACAGACTCGTATTGAAATTGAAAAATGTGCCCGGCCAAAAAGGTTTGCCATCAGTGACATGTCAAAAAATGATAGGTGTCAGAATTCTACGGAATTAAAAATGAGAGTATAGTAAGTTTACATTTCTAATTTTTCATGTAATTTTATGTTTTTTTGATGATTATTTATGCACTTCTTGTACTTCTTTTCTTTTTCTATTTCTGCATAATATGGCTGCCTGAAATCGCTTGTTAGCAATAAGGCCGCCCGTTGATTAATAACTCATGTAACGTGTTTTTTTATTGTATATTTATAATTTCTAAAACAACGTCATCAATTATATCAGAACATAAGCAATCTAGTAAGGGAAAAAAATAAACTAGCAACCACAAAATAATAATATGTGAAAAATAGTAATATTATAATGTGTTGTATGATAATCAAGTGTAATATTAATAACCTTAAAAGAAAATCATGGTCGGGCGGTCCGGGGATCTATCCGCAACTGTTTCATTCATAATTGGATGAAAAGCAAAATGAAAAACAATGAGCATACACTCACCCATCTCTTGAAACTTGTTGACCTCCTTCATGATGCAGGCCCACGCGTTTAGGAGATTCTTTGCCAGACCATTCATGAAGCCTGGCTCCACTCGCACGACCTGTTTTAGGTGGAACATGTGTGTCCGTCTGTGCCGCTTTATCATGTTTAACTCGCCTAAGAGGAAATTTGTTGCTGGCTGAAATTGTAAATAAATATTTATAGGATTATATTCCTTAGATGTGCGACTCTATCGAAGGCATTGGGTAAATCTTTTGGAGTTTGTACCGATATTTCCAGAATATAAGATTCTAATTTAATTTCTACTATCCATGCGAACTCTTTGATACAGCCCCCTCGGGATTTGTTCGCCGCTATATCACGGGCTATTGTTTAGCGCTGCGCCTGATTCGTTATCATCATGTTTACACGTGAATATCTTATTTCTTAAACATTTCATAAGTACAGTGTAATCTCACTAATCCGGCACTATTAAAAACCGGAGAGTGCCGGATTATTGGTATGTTCGGATTACTAGATTATAGTGAAAAAGTCATAGGTAATTAATAAAATAAACAAATCTAGTGTCTTGTGTTTGCGTTTATTCGACATTTTTAACTATAACCTATTCTCACTTGAAAAAAACAAATACGTAAGCACGTGCACGTGATAAGTTTTGAGGTTAGACTGCTAGTTGACGACGCAGCGATCGAAGCGCACAGGTATAGAGGGGTGAAGGAGGCGTGGGCGGAGGGTGCCGGATTATAGGACGTGCCGATATATCGAAGTGCCGGATTAGTGAGATTATACTGTATTTGATTATTCTCGTTTTAAAATGTGTGATGTTTGAGAGCATAAAGAAAATAAATAAAATGATGAAAATTGATATAAAATGGTATATTATGGTATACACTAATAAAATTCGGAGAGAATTTCCCTTCGATATGGCTATAAGGTAACACTTGGCGGACTTACACCACGAAATTGGATTTTTTTTTGTGACAGTGTAAACTCTATATGACGACAATCAAGGGACTGTGCATATTGTCGCGTTACAAAGATATGTCTTTAAATGGAAAGAAGAAAAATCTGCAGAAAAAGAAAAAGTTTAATCCAGACTAGTGTTAGTAATTACATAAAAAACAATTCTTAATATTACGGCCTAGGACAATAAAGCGAGACGTTCACAGCTCTGCAGTTTTAACTAATTTCGGCAATTTAAAAAGGACTTTTAGTATTTAATTGTTGTCGTTATTGAGGGTGGGTGTAATGCTATGGAAGACAAGCTAAACCAACCAAAGCCGAGTGGCCACGGTACCTTACATTGAGTTTAGACTGTATTTAGAATTTGGCCCGATCTTGGACTTGAACATTGTGTAACTTGAAGAATAATATTGCAATTTGAATTAAGTTAGTCCCATTTGCGGAACCATTTTCTGGTTCGGTTTTGAATATGTCCTAATGTCATGTGTTTCGTGTAATGACTTGAGAAATTTAAAAATCAGTCAAGTAGACTACAGAGAATAAAATTTTTTCGTGATATAAAAATAATTTCTAATATATTTAGCAATTTTTTAATCGTTTGTTTAGACTTCGGTGAATCAAAAATATTTCTTAAATTTGTATCTAGAAATAATGCACGATTGCAACGCACCTCATACAAATTCAACCTAAAGGCTTCTTCAGTGGCTGCCACTGCCTCCTCGAAGCAACCCATCTCAATAAGTACGGAGCCCAAAGACACCAAAACCACTTCTTTGTACTTCGGCGGGACGACTTTATTCGCCGCTTGAAGGCAATGCAGGGCATTCACCCTATTACCACGAACACGCCAATAGAGAGACGCTATAACTTGAGTTATCCATTTTGGGGCTGTATTCTGAAAGATTCAATAAATATACTTGTCGGGGATAATGTAATGAGGTGCAATAAATTTTATTAGAATGGCAACACCACACGATATCAAATGTTATAGTGCTATAATTGTCAATCTCAATATGTCAATTGCCAGACGTTTTTAAAAACATGACAGGCGACAGTTATATAGGGGTTTACGCTGGGCCCGAACGATTTTGATATTTTCGGACCGCGCATCTGATTATTATTTTGTAATTGTTGGTCTCAGTTTGTAATATTTATCTATGTAAATACATATATTATAAGCATTGTGTTTGTGCACTCAGTCCTTTTAAACGGCGGTTATTATGTGTAGTCTACATTGGTTTATGTAAATGTCAGACAGTCAATAAATAATTGGTCGTGACACACTTTCAATAGATATTGACATCAATATTGTCAGTAGTCAGATCATTCTACCGAGTAGACGTGTTTCGTTATAATGGACGATAACAGTACGGCCTGTATTGACATAATAACTTACCTTACATCTTTAAGGTAAGTTCATTAAAACAATAAATTTACGTAATCAGTTATATACTTTAATTTTTTAATCAGCATAAACACAAAAATGATCCAACATCTTACGCGCTTATCCAAATCAACATGCACACACGAATTTTAATTGTTTATTTGTACTAAGTCTATAAGGATAGTCCGTATTTTATAAATTAAGATATATAATATACATACTTATAATGTCGACTAACCTTCTTCATTGCTGCATATATTCTGTGTCCAATTTCAGCATCTTGCATACGTTCCGCTTTCTCTATATCTCCGTTTCCGACATATTCCAACAACTTCTGCCTTAGTAAGTCCGATTCGACGACTTCAGTTATCAATTGTTGCCTGTAATATATAATTCGTTTTACTTTTCTCAGCATTTCTTACGCTCAAGAATAAATTTCATAATGAGATGGGAATATTCTACACTAATAATATATTTGTACGAACCCAGGCTGTACATTTTTCACACTCGGGCTTTCTTAGTTTTATAAGCGTAACGATTTCCTAAATGATCGGAGTTACGCCCCGAGAGTATAGCCAGACGAAGGCACTCTCTTCGACTGTTACATTGCGTTTCTTCGTTACATAGTAATTAACATTTCATACAGAAAAAGAAAAACTAACGAAAGACATTTTATAAAGACATGACAGAATTAATGCAAAAGAGGAACATAATTATCATGTTAGACTTTATCGCTAAGATGGATAAGAATGGTGGTCAAATTAAACTATGGGAGGACGATCTACCAAAAGGATGGAGAAGGTCTGCCAAGGATAGAGAGACGTAGAAACAATTATTGGGGGAGGCCTATGTCGACAGACAACCTGACCAAAGTACCCAACCACTGAGTAGCATGTAAATTTAAAGATCAGTGAATAAAGGGCTTTTATTATTATTATATTATTAATTAACATTTCATATATTCTATTGTTGTACGCGAGTACTTAATATAGAGTAAAAATAAAATGCTCTAATATTTAAAGCACCCCGATGACCCAGGAACCGTACAATATTTGATTATTAAATATATAGCTGCAGAGTCGAATAACAGAAACTTTATGATATCACACAAAAATCAATAACGGAGCTCTAATGAAAATGTTGAAAGAAAATGATTGAACGCTGGAGATCAATTTCGGGAACTACTCGGGAAAACAAATTTCAATTCAAGTTATTGTTAGCTGCTGTTATTGGATGCCCTTGTACTAATTAATGATTAGGGGAGCTATGTATTATACTGGTTTTTTTTTCCTTTTATTTTATAATAAAAAAAATACATTTCGCGAAGTAGTCTCTCGCTAAAGGTGAACCGTTGATAATCTTATAAATTCGTATTATACATAAAACAATATTATAAAATATACTTAAATTCCGTACCACCTACACATATTAGTGCCAAAACTTAACACAACATTTTTAAAACCGACAAAAGAGATCGAACATATATGTGTTTCACGGCTATGAAACATACATTTCTTAAGGCATCTATAAATATATAACAATAAAGTGACAGTTTTTATTCCATGAAATAACATGAAATATTTCCCAGCTTTTAAAAGTTTTTATTGAAAAATTCGATTCGTTTTTAGTATCTTTATTTATTTATTATTAGTGTTTCCCACTATTAAAACCTTCCCTAAACTTACACAAATAGATCAAGATCATTATTGGCCAAATCGGTCCAGCCATTCTCGAGTTTTAGCGAGCGAAACGAACAATTAGACTCTTAAGGCCCTATCCCAGCAAGTATTGCTGTGTCACTGTCTCGGGGTGGACTGCGGGGCGCAGTGGAGAGCTGGAGCACTGAGGCGTGCCGGCCCGTAATGACAATTAGTTTAAAACATTAAATTAATGTAATTTTATCAATTTTTTTTTCGGAAATGGATTACTTGGCTTGCGATAAAATATATCGTGTAAATTTCAAAATCATGTTCTATATACATTTTCGTCATAAAATGAATTCTAATTGTCAAAAATTGGCTATGTTTAGATTTTTTTCTATCGAGCAAAGTTTTATTTATTTATTTAAATCGTGTATCGATCTTTCAAAATGGATACATAAACTACTCAACTCCACCATATATTTTTTCCATTCGCCCTACTTCAAGAAACGATGACGAATAATGGAAAGAAACAATGTACTTTTTTGGAGTTTGGCGATCTGATACGTCCTTAAATTATTATATATTTTTTTACTTTTGTAGTGCGAAAAAGCACGCAACGCGAGCTGTAATATTACTTACTTATAAGATTTCCTTCCTTCCTTATCAGTGGGGCAGACGGGCGGATGCCAGGGCAACTCATGCTCTTCTCCGAGCGGGACTCCGATCTTGTCAGTAAGGAGAGTCTTCACTCTGTAAGGAGTGCCTATATCAATGTAAAGCGTTGTTTGCAAATAAAAGTTCACCACGTATTTCTCGAAAGGGTCGCGTTTTTTCAAGTTTCATCAAAAGATAGACTTTTAATGTCAGATATTTTAAAAAGTATTAACAAACACAGGGTAATATGCCTCATCGGGTTTTGGAATTAACAATAGAATACCTTATTCCTTTATTCTCCAATGGCAAGAAGACCGGGTACATCGCCTCCAAATTATCAGGAAACGTATGCAATGCCTGTGTACACATTGCATCTGACAGCCAATTTGGGTCTTTGTCAAAATCTTCATGATTTCTGTTTATTATTAATGTTGGTGGGTATCTGAAATAACAGTTGTTAATTAATAGATACATTTTTAGAGGCTGAGGAGGCGAAAGGACTTTTATAAAACAAACAAAAAATTTTCTAAAAAAGAAAAGAAAAAACGACGGGTTGCCGGCAGAAGTGAAAACTTGAATATTAACGTTGTGCATTTTTGATATTTTGGAATGGTTAGGGAATAATTTTGCACGAATTTCTTTAATTATCAGTATAAAAGTACTTTCATTTATGTGGTAGAATACAATATTTATGACAATTTATATTACATTAAATACGCCGCGCCAGCTGCCTACTCTCCATCCGTCTTACGAATTTTCGATCAGGTCACGTGTCCTGCGCGAGTTTAACATTTTTTACCCATTCCAAAAAAAGTGTACAACGCCGCTAAAGAAGTTTTCACTTCCAAAAGTTTTTTGGGGTGGACACTCCTTATCACTTAGGGGTTTGAAATATAGATAGTAGCCGATTCTCAGACTTACTGAATATGAATATAAAATTTTATAAGAATCGGTCGAGCCGTTTCGGATGAGTATGGGAACAAATGGGTTCGGAGCTCTTCCAAAATGAAATAAATTGTACTCACAATATTAAGATGTACATTTAACCGAAACATTATTTTTAACAACCACTTACGGGGTACCATTGCCAATTAGTACCTAAATTAAAACTGTGAATATACAGAATAACGCTGCCGCAGTATTTTACTTACAAAAATATTCCACTTTCAAATTCAGAGAATTGATCACTTGTTTGAGTTTTCTTTTCAAAATCTGATTGGACTTCTTCACTATGTGCAATTTGTTCAGGATTAGCTAGAATAAATAAATAAAAAATTATTAAAAAATATAGATTCTGTTTGTTTTTTTTTTTTAATTTAGGTTCACGAATGATTCCATAAGTCTGTAAGCACTTAATAGATCTTTAAATATATGATAAAAATCGTAAAAGAATAATAACGTTTTAATTTCTTTAGATTTGACAAAAATCACTTAGGATTATTTATTAGTAACTGTTAAACCTACACAAATTGCTATTTTTTATTTCTGTTAAATATTTAAAAATTCAAATTAAACATTCATTATTTCAAGAACCCGCCAAATATCTAGACAAGATGGCGTCGCAAACGTCTAGTTTTAGTGTCAATTGTCATTCTTAAATTACACAAATAGAGAAAAAGATGGACTCCTAACTACGTAAGACGTGGCTTCGGTCTTTAAAACTACCAAAATTCTCCAATTAATTACCAAGAACAAGATCTGGCTGTATGGACTAAAGTTCTTTGCCTTTCCCATTAGGGATAAATTAATATCATCATCATTACACAAATAGACATATATCATTGTCTTCGACGACATTTAACTCCAAGAAAGTATTAAAGACGCAATTTTTTTTTAAATTAAAATTATATTATTTATGGTACATCATCGTCGATTCGACTAATCTGTCATCATTTTATGCCACATGACTGTATATATAGATTTTTTTTGATAATTATTAATTATAAGTTATTTTACTCCGTAAAACTTTTAAAGTAACATTTTAAACTTTATTGGATTAATTTCAATAACACTTTATGTTCATATTGTCAAATAGGCTTACCAGTTTGGTCTTCAATCGGTTCGTCCGTATTGAAATGCACTAATATGTCCGCCATATTGGCATGTCTCTGTATATGACTAACGATCCTTTGCAACGTGTAAATAGCGTCCAAATTGGCAGTACCGGTCACTTCCAATAACCTATCATTGTATATAGGTCCATCAAAAAAGTATTTTATCAAAGAGTATCTATCACCCAACATTTTTATTTCATTGATCCTGAGTCCTGTCAATTCTGACATCTTTGCGCAGTTCTTTTCTACGTTTTTATAATCTGAAATACAAATACAAGCAAACATTTTACACAAAGATGGAGAGTTAATTGCCAATTCTTCTCGGCCATTCTACGCCCTTTGAGAACTGGCAGTAAATTTAAATTTTGAAGCATTAATTTTTATACTGGCGTTCATAATGTTATCTGTTATATGATATTTTGATTTCATTATTAATTAAAAAAATAACATATTCCTTAGATTTTTTATAAAAACCATAGTTTTTTAAGCAATGAAACATATATCTAAAATTTTAAAATAATCCGAGCTTATCATTCCAACATGTAATTCCACCCGATTTGGCTGGTCAAGCTGTCATTTGATTTGAATTTGCAGCAAATAGGTCCTTATCAGAAATAGTCTATGATATACACACCCCATATATAAATTAATTAATTATAGTTTAGTATATTTATTTATATTGGTTATACAAGAACAATCAAAAAAAAAATTATTTTATCCTTTTTGTGCATTTTTTTAAAAATATAGAACCCCTAATAGCCTACCACCCACTCAGGCAGACCTGTGGCCAGGAAGGTAAGCAACAGGAGTGTAAAATTACCTATTTCCTAAAAAGGGACCAACTAGGTCTGATGGGTATTTAATAAATTTTGAAGTCGGTTATTTCTTAAGACTGGTTGTAACAGAATTATCAGTAGTACATATGGTTCTGTCAAAATCAAGTAGTACTGCTGTTAGTGAAACACAAAAATAATTACCATATCCATCAATTGGTTTCATTGTCTTTAAAAATTCGCTCTGCGTTTTAATCCACATTGATTCTTTAAGAATATATTCACTCAAACCTTCACGCAGTTTATCTATTTTCCTGAAAATAGAAATAGAAGATATGTTACTGTTAATTCATCAGTTCTATTGTACTAATTTAATTAAGGTATCTATCTTTTTTTATCACATTGTTGACAGAAAGAGACAAAAGAGTGCAATTAGACCGATTTAGTTTTTACAAATTTGTTTATGTTCGTTATTTTATGTTTTATGATCATCAGTTTTAAATTTTTTATTAAGATCTTGATTACAATTGTTTCAAAATACTTACACTTTTAAATTCCGTATCCTTCCACCCAAATGTACATGACATAATGTAGCATATTTGTGTTTCTTAGCTATATCCATCTTTGGATTAATTCCCAAGGACACTTTATAGTGAGCAAGTGATATATTAAATTCACCCAAATATGTATAAATATTCCCTAATACAAAATGTGCAATAGAGTTGTGGGAATCATGGTCGAGGGCACTATTTAATATTGTTATAGCATCTGCATACTTTTTGGCACGATATAGCAGAGATCCTAAGTTTAATAAGGCTATATCTTTATATTGTCTGAAAGTGTTAACAATTATTTTATGTTAAACTAAAATCTACAGGTTTGAAAAAATATAGTTTTACAACTTGGTAATGCATATAATGGCATGCACCTAACACTAATAGCTTAAAAGAATTAGAACTAGAAGAAAAAATAAAAGGCTGTGCTTTAAATTTATCTATCTTTTACCTAGCTAGATTAAACTTATGATTTTAGAAACAAATTCAATTTAAGGATAAAACAATGTTTTGACAAGTTTTTTTTGTTACATAAAGCATCACAAATGTAATTTAATCCATGTACCTGGGTGCATAATGCACTGCTCGCCGGCAACACTCTAAAGCTTTAGGTGCATTTCCTTTCATTCTCCAAAATAAAGCTGCCAAGTTATAATGCAGCCATGATGAACTATTCTTTCTTAAGGCACCAGCTAACCAATGCCCAAATTGCTCTACCGATGCTGCTGGAGATATTATATCCAGTGTTGGGTACTCTGGTGTAATCGAAATATTTGTTCTTTTTATCATACTCTGAAAGGAGGAACGCAGTTGAAAACAAAGTGTTTTAGGTGCAGGAGGACAAAAAGAATTTAAAGCTTACAACAACCAATACAATTTTTTTTAACAGTAAGTACTGTCACAATCCCACAAATAACTACAAAAGTGCACACTTGTTTTATTATAACCACAAAATAAATAAATGGAACATGTATCATGTATCTGAGATTTTAAAGTAGAGTTTGGGATTAGATACAAAAAAAGATAAAGATCTCAACAATAGCTATGCTTATCCTATTTAGATTAATCTAACATTGAGGCAGATAGTGTTATACACATAGGAATAGAAAATTATACTTACACTTAAATGTTCAAAAGTAAACATACTGAAGGTAAGGGATGATATCTTTTTACAATCAGGTACATCAATACTTGGTCCATAACTGCTTGGGAGCAAAAATTCTTCCTCTGCAATGTTTTTTATAGTACCATCTTCTAAAGGTGTATGATACCAATCAATCATGCTAAGAGGGCCCGCCCTCATGCAATTTTCATCTTTTCCAACATCAATACCTAAATCTGTATCTTTTTCAATATCTGTCCAGAGGTCATCAAGAAATTTTTGCTTTTTTGATAACTCATGGTGCAACTTAATAATTTCATCCCAACGAGTTTCTTGCTTTAAAAATGATAAGAAGTCATAAGGTCGAGCCATTTCAAAAGGAGAATCCATCTGAAATTTGAATTAGGTAACTTAGGTACTCTTCATACATAGGTACTCTTCATTACATTAAAATTAAAGCCCACACTTAGAAAAACTATTTTATAGCTTATCCTACATTATAATGAAAAGAGGAATAAATAAGCAACAACAGCTAACTATTATCATCCTTTCAGAAATATATAATTTTGAAAGTAAATGTTAAAATGACTAAATAATATATAATTATGCAGGAGTTATATTTATAAATAAAATGTAGGTTTACAGTAAAAGCTTAGTTCAAGCGAATTAAAACAATCAATTAATCTTTCTTACCCTGGGCTGAATTAATCCGCTTTCAGTAACCATCCAGTGGGACGAAGCCTGCAGTCTTTCAGCGCATGTTATTAAAATTAAGAAACGAATGCACAAAATAAATTTACAAAAAATCATTGTGTTAACGTGTTAAAGGTAATTTAAAAAAAACATGACATTTATAAACAGACACAACAAAGGCGGCAATAAATACTTTAAATTTTTAAAAAGCACACGGCTTAAATTTAGTATTTTTGCAAGCAAATCTCACACTGGTGACTGGTCACTGACACAAGCGGCAAGCCGACAGCTGCCTAGGGCGGACAGCCTCAAGCACAGAACACGCCTAAAGCATAACCACTAGCCAGCCAATCCGCAGTCGAGAATCGATGCGATCGGACGCCGACGGCAATACCAACACGGCGTGCACTCCTTAAAATCAACGTCACTGTCAAGCATAATAGCTACAGATAGCACAGACAGACACAAATTCAATTTCATGTTGTCGTCTAGAATATTATAAAGAATTTTAACTTACAGTTATGTCTATAATAAAAAAAGTTTTACAATAATTGTAAAATTACACAAGTCAGAATTCCGAACGAAGAGATAGGCAAAAGTAGAAATCAAGAAGTTTTATAGCAATTTAGACCTGAGTCACTGTAGATGTCGCATAACTAAATTATTTGTTACAGCATAATTATTATTAATATATTATACTAACAAAAAATTTTAATCTAAAAATTTCTTTCATATGCTCCTTTACTCGCAGTAAGCCGTGACACAGTTTAAAATAGGAAAGTAGGTATCTAATTATTAGAGTGGAACAAAGGGCTCTTTTTTCACGGCATGAAATGCGCAAGTCCAAACAACCTGATTTTACCACGCAAGTCACTAACTTTAGTCGACAATTTTACCCTGTAACACATAGTACACGGCTCCTGCAAATACCAATCTATATTTTATTCCAACCCAATGTACCATTCAATAAATATGTCGAGCGCGTATAAAAAACCCTGTTTTTAAAGTCAATATGTTTTTCATACAAATCAATACGAAGGACTTGATTATGTATTTATCGTACGTTCTGTTTTAAATATGTAATAAAATAATGAAAAGTGAGTGAGAGAAAGAAAATGTTAAATGACGCACAGGAAGAGTTAGCACAATCTTTACCAAGAGCTAATTATCGCATAAATGAAGCAGAAAATGTGAAAAGTTCACTTATAGTTGTAGAACATAAGGTATTTAATTGAAATACATTAAAACTGTTATGGAATATGGTATCTTAATACTTAATATAATTTCAGGGTGATTTGTGGACATGTGCTCTAAGAAAGATCTGTTTGACTGCTCTCTGGCTTCCACTAGGCGCTCTAATATTTTGTTACGTGACAGCTTCCTTATTCCAGGCAGATGACATTCATGAAACCCACTGTCGGGTATGTTTAATTTTTATATATAAGAATTGCCTTCAAATAAAGTTCATACTAATAGCCGGTCTATCTAAAGAGTTTTGTCAGATTGTAATAATATATTGCGTAATAACACCTTTGTAATATAACTTTCTCAAAATCAGCTAAGTAGTATCACAGAAGAGCCCATACATTACCAAGTAATTTACCAATTCCAAATTAAAATTAAAGTATTCAGATGTTACTAATATGTGAAGGCTCATATCAGCTCATATCATATCTTTTCGGTAGAGGTTCAGAGTCGAGTTTGTGAAAAAAGAGACATAGTGCTTAGATTTTGAGATACTGGAGTCGTATACTGCGCTCAATCTCGACTCTGGGGGTAAGATTCAGAGACTTGAGATAACCTATTGGATTTTGATATACGAGAGTCATAGAGCAAGTCTGTTTATGAATCTTACCCATAACCCGCCCTCAGGGATTTTAAGACTTTTCTGATCTTACGCCCTTAATTATTGTTATTTTCCAGGTTTATAACGTAGTACCATCAATAAGTGCAATTACTGGGATCAGCCCTCAAAGGTACGTCTGGAGGATATGCATCGCCTACCACCTAGGACCAAGATTATTGATAGGATCTCTATACTTTAACTACCATAAAGAACGCACTTTGCACATAACGGATGAACAGGTATTAATCCTAACTATACATATCATATAGGCAACTAAGTACACGTCTTATGAACGTCAACAGAAAAGATGTTAAATTGATTCTAAATTTAAATTTACAACTAGTTCGCCAGTCAATGACGTAGAGCGGGAAAAAAGAACTGGCAGGTATCTTTTTATTCGCCAAGTTTTGAGTCATACAAATTGTTTGTAAGGCAGATAAGAGTAGCCATAAATATGTGAACGGGAGCAAATTGGTTTACCAACTTAATTACTTGGTAACCAAGGATTAGTTAGGATCATTTAAAAAATCGTCAAATCTATAAAATTTGAATTTATTTCATGATAATTCTCTAATTTCGATTGGGAGTTTGTTGTAAAACCGATACTAGATAGATAGATACTATTAATAAATTTATCTTCGTTTATTGAGGTCTCACCTATTCTCGTTGCCTTATAATGGTTTCATTTATTGTTACTATTTCGTTATACCATTAGAAGAGCGGAGTACCCTGATGTACAGGTCTCCCTAGACTTAGTTCAGGGGCTCCAATATCTGCTAAAAATGTAACTTGTTATTGGATAAAAAAAATTGTTTTTTTAAAAATAATGATTAAATATAACAGTGAAGCCTAGTGGCATTAGCGTGCGATTCTCATAACTGAGGTCGTAAGATCCCTGGATTTCTATCCATGTGCGCATCTATTCGCGCGTACGGTGAAGAAAAACATGGACGAGCTTTAGACCCAAAAAAGACGACGGCGTGCGTCAGGCACAGGAGGCTGATCACTACTCTCATGATACAGATGTTTCAAAACCTATCAAACAACCAGAAGGCTTTTCAACTACTCACCTATGAAATAAAACTGATCAAAGACGGATTCAATCTGGATTAATATTATTATTAATTAATTAATATTTTAATTATAGATGCGATTGACGGCAACTAAACTGGGAAAAGCTTGCTATTGGCTAAATTTGGTGGAATTGTTTGCTTTGACGGGTGTCACTTATGTCTCTAATAGAGAAAATTATTGTAAGTACATTTATATTTTTCTAACATTTAAATATATATATTTTGTCATATGCTTACTGTTTAGATGCCTAAACTATCCTTAATTGATAGCAAAAGGTTTTCTGATAATTTTATACTTTTATAATAATTTTATAATATTTTAGTTGACCATACATAATCTTTTAATAAATAAATAAATAAGAACTAAATCAATATTTGCGATTTTCAAACCTGAGATCCCGTATTACCCCGGGAAATTATGTGCGTAATTAAAAGTAATAATTAAACTTGGGAAACCAACATATTACAGACCTAACAAATACGGCGTACCTGCTAAGCTTCAATTATTCAAGGTGTACTAATCCATAATGACATAAATAAATTAACTGACTGATAAATGTGTCCACCTAATATCTCATAAGACTTAGGTTAGGTACGGTATGTCGTTCGTATGAACGAACGATCTATGTATATGAAAGATGTATTCGAGAACTAAAAAAATTTAAAAAAAAAACAAGGTTTTAACCTCGCTTTAGGAGCCTGAGGCCTTAGAATTTCGCCACAATTTCTACAATGCAGAAAACAACAATGAAGATTTACTAATTATTTTTCGCAAAGTGTTTGGAGAAGTGCCAAAACCAGCACTTAGAACCTTTCCAATTAATGTTTATTGAACGCGGTTTCTAGCGCAGGTGGCTTTTTAGTAAAATCAAAAGATTTCCCTGACCTACTTAAAACTAATGCCTGAAACTATTGTGGCATTTAAAATGTAAATGCCCGTAGTAGAATGGCAAACAATGGGTAACGACGCGAACTTTTTCAACTAGCGAAGAAAATAGAACTTACTTTAAATATTGTTTCAACTTGTGTTTTTATGTTGCTGATAACTGGCTCGATGTATTCGACCCTTAAGCTATTTATTTTGTTTTAGTATCTAATCATACAGCTAGCATACATATTATAAAACAAAACACTACACTATATAGAAAGCCAAAACAGATTACATAGATAAACAATATATATATTTCGAGTCAATTTAATTTTTACGCGAGTGGTTGATATAGAGTAAAACTAAAATCCTCTATTATTTAATAATAATAATCCTCTATCCTCTATTCCCCGATGACCCATGAACCGTAGAGTAATAACTTAATTTTAACAATTTACAATTATCATCTGTTTATATAACTCAAAATAACTAAATTTCATAAAAAGTAATACAATTATTTAAATTTTCAGTCATTCACGAGAAGATCTTCATAATTTTTATGGTGGCTTCTCTATTACATATGTTATGTAGAGCAAGAATTGGATGTATCGCAAATGACGTATTGGAGCCTGTACGGACCAACAAAATTGTGTGGAACCTATTCTTCATCGCAATAGCAGCTACTACAGGATTAATAATTTTTTTCTTGAGACATCGCCTTCTCTGTAGACCACTTGGTAAGACACTTTAAGTAATAAAATAAAGGTTCAGTTAGGTCTTATTAATATAAAATAATAATCATCATCAATAATAAACATCTTTGTCAGAGGCTGGTGCCTATAATAGGTCTAAAGTAGTCCTGCCTTTAATCGCAGACAGATACTATATAAAAACATAACTACATACAAAGACTAAACTATAGTAATAGACTAAAACTAAAGCTTGAGTGTGGGTGTGTGAATGTGTGTAAGGACTAAGGCTGTGTGCATTGAACGTGTGTGAAAGAGTTTAATTGATTACAACATTTAAAATTTTAACGTGCTTTCTGATGAGCCCAGAACTTTTCTGCCACAGAGACGGTCAATTATATTTTCACGTATCTTCTACCGAGGCGTACTGATTGTAAACATAATAAGGATCACTATTACTTATATAGCATCTTATTCCAACACGATGTTATTATAATTAGTAAGATATCTTTCTGATTTCAGCTTTCACGTGGTTCTCTGTGTGCGAGTACATTTTGGCCACAACGAATATGGTATTCCACGCGATTGTCGTTTTGGACCTGCCTTTTCACGAAGTAAAAGTAGTTTATTCAGAACGCAAGAGCAATTAATTTTCTATAAATTATATTTACTAATATATAAGCCCTACTGACTATATTCTGCACGTGTTGAGTGTTACAATACAGCACAATTGTGTTATGTTTGTTTAAACAATTAGTATTAAAGTTCAATTACTTTACCGCCTATTTTCTAGTAAGCTGTGTATTGTTAAGAAAATATACTTAATTTTTAATTAGACATACTTATCCACGGCACTTATTTGATTAACACAGACATTTTAATTGTACGATTCGTGTTCGTATTTCAAAATGTCACTGTCAAACGATTTATTTCCTGTGAAGTTTGATCGTTGACAGATTTCAAGGCGCGATCGGCGATTGTTTATTGATATCCGTTTTGAAATACGAAATAACATTTATAAGTATAAAATATAAATATATATAAGTATTAAATATTTTTAGGGTGTTAGGATTATTCCTTTCCTTAATTAGACATTAAATATTTGTCTTTACTGCTAGTATTCACAATTTATTTGTAGTTATAATTCAGTACTGAAAAATACCCTATTCGTTTAAATACGACGTTTTAACACTACACAGAATATATTGTATTGTAAATTATATAAATCATATCTTATATTCTATTATATTTACAAATATTATAGTAATAATTATATTTCACTTATATGTAATTAATTTTATTAGATTAGTGGAATGTACATTATTTAAAATTATTTTTGTTTTTAGGAAAAAAATCGAATAAGATTTATAATTTACATTTATGTGTGCCTTAATTAATTAAGCACACGCTTAAACACAATTATATCTTATTTTATTTGTATTACCGAGATATGATCCATGTTTTTCTATTTATATTTAGTAATGCGTAAATGGATGATAAATTTAACACACGTAAAATGTTGAATATGGATTACTCACGTTAATTAGTATTCTTATGGTTTTTATAAGCCTTAGTTTCTATAATTGCATATTTTATATAGTTCTTAATAGTATACATTAATCAACATCCTAAGTCAGTACAGATAATAGCGAGATTTTTTTCTCTAAAATCTTTCTAATTTCTGTCTAGGCAGATTATTATTTTAAGAATTCGGTCGTTGAAAGCTATTGTTATATTAAATTGTCAATAAATTGGTTCAGTTGAATAAGTTATAATTACGATTTTTATTTATCTCACTTACCTTTACTAGTATTTATATTTTAATATTTGCGTCTACTTATCTTCATTCCGGTGTCAGTTTCATTGGTCTGTATCAAATCAGCCTCCTCTGATTAAACTAAACCAAAGAAATATGTTTTGCCGGAAATATATCGATAACACATAACTAATAATTCAAATCTGTATAGTAAGGTAAGCATTTGAAATTGCATATCAAATGTACTGAGTGTAACTGGAAAAACAAAGTGAAGTTATCATTTGTTATATTATTATGATAAAAATACAACAATAATACCTACCATAAAACTATGATATCAGCAACCAGATATTATATGTAGACCGGTGTATACCTAACTATATAAATAGGTACATAATATTATTTGAGTGGCTATAATATATTATATATCGATATATACGATAACTGTCCAAAGTGCCCTCTAGCGTTGCCATAGAGGTGTTTACATCGCCCGCTAGGTGGCACTGCATGATCAATCTGTAGCATTTAGCAATGTTAGACATTTTCTATAATCTATATTATAGTAGACAGCTCGCTGTGTTTCGTAACAAAGATGGCGGCAAGCGGCAGCTACGCAGGTATATTTTATTAGTGTGTGCGTGTATACGTACACTCAATTTCACGTTTGACCACTCTAAACACGCACACACCCTAATATTACCGGGTGTTTGCGGGACGAGGGGAGGAACGTCCGTGAAGTTCTGTCAGCATATGCGCAAACGAGGTGCGCATTCGTCGCGTGCGTTGTCGGGATTCTTTGTGCCATTCTTCGCATACCAATAAGAGTATATTCTTTTAAAATACTCCTAAATTGACATCTAATCAAAATTCGCCCCTTCACCTCATCTTCCAACACCATAATAGGTAAGTGAAAAGTACTTTTTATCGCTTTTTCATACAAATAACTGGAGATTTTAGTGATTTTTATTCGGGAATGTCAACAATGCGATCGCGATCCTGCAATATTTTACATAGTTGTCGTGTTTGCTTGAGTTTGACTTCCGGTCGTTGGGGTGTCGGCATTTCGCGATGTAAACATTATCTAGTTTTAGGCATCAAATATTTGGGAAAGCTCTGTAGGGCATGAAGTGTGCCCAAGGTGTTTTTGTGTTGTTAATTTTGCTCGAGTGCTTGCTGAGATGGCGCAATTTTCGAAAGACGCGGTATGGTTCGACCGCGATCCACTTCAGTCGCGTTGGTGGCTTTATGTGATTTGACGTATTCCGTGCGCGGTGATGACACTTGTGAGGTTAATTTATGAAATGTCAAACGTTTTAGATGTAATTCGTGAGTGTAATTAACTGCAAACGAATGCAAGTGAAATATATATTGATGCAGTGAATCATTAAGTGATATGGACTGTTATTATTCAAGATTTTATTCAAGGCGTGAGTATTTATCCAAGTTAGCGAAAACAAACAAACAAAATTCCTGAAGTTCCACGAATATTTTTCGGTTTTTACCGCGCGATGTATCTAACTGTGTTTATAGTCACAGTTGATCGATAATAATAATTTTTACTTAATCACAAAAATCCTACAAATAATTAAAGGTGATTTGGCAGTATTTAAAAAGTATTTTATTTAGTTTTTTTTGCCGTATCATCAAAATTCTATAAATTCTGTTGAGTGAAATTAAATAAGCAAGTATAAAATCTAGATAAAATTATTAACTTATTTTTTTATTTACGTCCGCCACTTGAAGTACTTATTCTAATTTATATCGTATTTAAACAATTGCTAGAAAAATTACGAATTTATTTTTAATCGGTTATGTAAGTAACATTAAATTATAAATAAAACATATTGTCTATACAAATAAACAATTAAATTTACATATTAATATGTTCATAAAACCATGATTTCATTATAATTTAGATATCCAAATTACCTAATACATATTTTTAACGGGTGTTTATATTTTTTTCTTCTTGATTTTAATACTCTCGTTTAGTTTCATATGTTTTAATATTTTGTAATATAATGGCGTCGGATAACTTATATCGAAATCTAGACAAATTTCACTTTATTGTATACCATATACTTAAAAGCATAGCTCATACTTTTAATAATAAAATTAAAATTTAATATTCAGAAGGGTTTTAGCGGGAAACTATGTATCTTCAGTATACTTACGTACCTATCCGTCGGACTCACGAATGACTGCCAAGAGTTATTTTGGTGAATATGGTTGATGTTTTTATTGGGCGTCGCGACGCTCAAGACTCGAGTCAAGCAATAAGACGTGTAAACTGCTGACACTCCATGCCTTCTAATGGATGATCTAAAACGATTTATCACGGTGAAGAGAAAATTGAGTGTAATCAAACTTTATTGCTTCTAGACGCACCTAAGCATCTCCTCTGTTTTATTCGAAATTATGTTACGGTGTTTTTTTACGAAAACGCCACTAAGATGTGCATGCAGCGTTGAGGCCGATTGAGATAGATTGAGAAGGGCGAATTACATTATAGAAATTCTATTTTTAAAATAAAAATTTCGTAAAGATAATTTGTGAAATATTACTATTTTATATTTTATGCAAAATAATTTATTGAAATCTCAAATTACGAATTGTAAATTAATATTGCCACGTGTTTTTATTATCGAAGAAATAAATTTATAATTTGTATTTTAAACTACATTATATATACATACAATACTACTTAATTTTCAACACATTGAATATTTTAATGATAATTAAATTCCTAACAAATCTCCTTTTTTCCCTCCCTCTAAGTGACAGAAATCTAAAGTTTTAGATTTGTATAAATATGAACAAGACTTAAAATTATTTTGCCTAAGAAGTTTTCCTTCGGACATGTGTACTTTGTATGCATGCATTTTTTTTAAATCTAGGACATAGAGGTTTTAATTTAATTCAGAGTTCCCGGCGACATGATATGTTTATATTTTATATTTTTAAACGTCTCCAAAAAACATTAGGAGGTTATCAATTCGACGTTTAACGTGTTTTTGTTTAAAGAGTATATTGTAACTAGTTTGACAAAATGTTTATTTATTTATTTATATTTATTTACACTTCATTGCTTATAATATAAGAAACACAATACATAAAAATTATAAGGGATGCAACGGGCGGCCTTATCGCTAATAAGCGATCTCTTCCAGGCAACCCTAGTTAAGAGAAAACTAAAAAAAAAGACACATGATGCGTGCGAGAAGTGCAGAATCCTTAATCTAAAGCAATACAAAAAAAAATTAATTACAAACTAAAAACTTAAAAACTAATCTTACAAATACATGAACAGCTAATAGTGATGTAAAAGGAATCATAAGAATTATACAAGTCACGATTGATGAGGATAGGATAAGGTTAAGAAATGATTATACAGAAGAGTTTTAAAAGATGACAGAGAGGTAGCCAATCGTACGGAGTCAGGCAGCGTATTCCACAGCTTAATGGCGGAGATCGTAAATGAATTGCCTAAGAAGGATGAAGTGTGGGATGGAATTTCCAATAAACATCTATTAGAAGAGCGTAACATATAGTTAGAAGGACCTAAGAATTTGAAGTGATTTTTGAGATAAGAAGGGGTTTTCGGATTGAAAAGAATTGAGTATAGAAGTTGAAGAAGATGAGCGTGACGTCGGAATCGAATTAAAATGTTTTGCCCGCTTATTATGAAATTACTTTTACGGTCTCTGTATCAATAGTAAAAACTCACGAAAATTCAGTGTAATACACTAATTAAAAATCAAGACAAACGTTTTACGGTTTTGACATAAGTTATTACGATAAGCATTTCCTATGGGTTTAAGTTTTTTCAGCAAGGACCACTTAATTAGGCCTGTTTTTTAGGTGTGTTAACTCAAACAACAACAATTAGAAATC